CCTCCGTTCATTATCAAAACCCTTTTTCAAGTTTTCAATGGTTGCCGCTTGACTTCCCGTTTCCTGAAAAGACCAGGGAAAACTCTCTCTTTCATACATCCTTAGTCGTCAAACCCTGATAGAGTTGGAAAGGTTGCTTTCAACTCTACATGTGAGTACCAAGAGATAGAAAAACATGGTCACATGCTTACCAAGTTTTGAGTGATGATATTCAGGTAATTTGCTATCATTACAAAGGTCCATCTTTCAAGGAATTCAGCCGCATGTGTGCCCTCCAATGTTAGCTTTATCACAATACCAATGGCTTTTTGTGCTCATTACTGACCATATTATTCCACTATACACCATTTATGGTAGTTTGACTTCCACAACACAAAATTAGTGCCAATTCAATAGCTATTGGTGAAGTTAGGTTGGACGAGGTGGTGCATGATACAAATGATACTTAACAAGTTAAAGTTGATATGAATCTTCATATATTCAGTATCACTTTAACCCATAATCAATGTAAAATTTATAACTCATCTCTTTAAAATCATGACATTCTTCTTCACTCTTTGTTGAGAGCTTTTATTCAATGTTTATGGCTCTGCCCGTCACCACCAGCTTGACTCCACAGTGGTAGGACTTGGTACAAAGATCGCGCGGCGAGTCCTTAGCCTACTGAAGTTTAAGATTCCCGCATAAGGGCTCGCTTACCTCAGACGTTGCATTTGGCACAAAATGATTGCCTTTCATACTTGCCTTTATTTCAATAACGCCACCGAGTCTCCATCTAAACGCCAACTTGCACTCAACTGTTTGCCTTTTCATACTTGACCTTAATTTCAATAATGCCATCCAAGGTGTCAAAACCCGAAGTTTGCAACGTGATTTCCGAAGTCATTGCTAAGTGCATAGGGGACAACAATGTTTGCCTTCCATACTTGACTTTATTTCAATAATGCCCCGCAACGTTTCCAAAGTCGGTGATTGCATGCACAATTGCGCACAAAGAATGTTGACCGACGACCTCAAAAATTTAATAAAATTTATAATATTTTATTAAAAAATAATAACATTTCAATTTAGAATGTTTTAAATTTAAAATTAATCTTGGAAGAGCTCAGTTTTTTTTTTAATAATTGAAAAAAAAAAATTTGAAACGTGTTCTTTAGACAGAAAATAATATATCAACCAATGAATTGAATGTTCGAGTGTTCGAAAAAACTCGATTGAAGTCAGATCTATCATCTACTTTTGATGAAGTTAAATATACTCTTATATGCTCCAAATATATCGAGTTTATCATTTCATTAGAGAATCAATTTTGTTTTAAACTTTTTGTTAGATCTTTTAGCTATAGGCCTTTACAATCAACTATTGATATTGCATGATTAAGTGAGAAATAATACATTTTAAAACAAAAGTATACTTTGCAAACTCATAGAGAAAAAAAAAAGACATAACGCTCGAAAAAACTCTTGAATTATTCAAGAATATTTAAATAAGTTTTACTTTCTATTGTGTTCAATTATTTTTTTATATTTTTATATTTTTTTATTGAGTTAATTAAATTTTTATAACTAATGATTGATTAATTACAGTTAATCATAGTGCCATGCGACTATATCATCATGCCACAATAGTACACTTTGTTATCACTCATTATAACATATTAGTATGCTACGTCAGTGTCATGTGACATAAAAAATAAAAAATAATATTTAATTAACTTAACCATTAATCATAAAAATTTATTTGAATAAAAATAAAAATAAAATAATTGCATTAACTGTAATAAAAAAATAAAAATTTATTTAAAATTTGGGTCAAATTAAACTAAAAAACCCAATATAAAGGCCTAAAATTTAAGCTAGTCTCTCCATATTTCCAACCCTAACTTCATTGGTATATATTTAAACTCTAATTTTGGCTAAGATTTAATTTTAAGGTGTTTATAAAGAACTTTGTCACAAAACTATGATTAATATATTGTTTAACTTGTTAATTAGGTGTTTTAGCTACGAATTTATTGAATAGGACATTATTTTTAAATTAAATTTCAATTTTAAAAATAATCACTCAATTTTGAAAAATAAACAAAAAAATCCTTGTAAAAAAAAGGATAAAAAGAGGTACAAAATATCAAGAAAGAAGGAGGAACCGACGTCGTTTTTATCTGTTTCCTTGCTGAAACCTGAGAGGCCGCTAACGGGCCACATCTAATCTTCAAGTGGGGGTGTGTTTCCCCAATGATGAAAATGAAATGTTACAGAAAATCTCTCTAAAACCCTAGAACCGTAAAACCCTCTTCTCTCTTTGTTTCTCCCATTCAAATTCCCAGGAATTTCATTTGAAAGAAAGAACATTTTTTTTGGCAATATTTTTGGTGTTTTTTTTTTTTTTGTAAAAAATGGTGACACTTCAAATGGCAAACCCCAAGGACTTACTGTCTACAACATCTTCTTCTTCAGTGCTGTCTTCAAGGCCGTGTTTTTCTTCAAAAAAGCCCTTTAAGAGAAGCTGTTTGAGGCGTCAACGTTTTGGAGGGATAAGCTGTTCCTTTGCTCCAATGGAGACTGCCAAGATAAAGGTGGTTGGTGTTGGTGGAGGTGGAAACAATGCAGTTAATCGGATGATTGGTAGCGGTTTACAGGTTGGTGTTTTTCAGGTTTTCTCAATTGGGTTTTACTTAAAGTTTGAAAATTTTGTGACTTTCAAGCTTAATAAGTGTCATTTTTGGAAAGAATTTTGTGTTTTTCCCACCATTTTTTGGACTCTGAAATTTGGTGTAAACTATTGAAGTGGATTTGCTAGTGGGTTTTATCCTACATCTTCATTTGATAAAATTTGGGAAATCTAAGTTCTTTCTCACTCAAATATTTTGTTTCTCGAAGCCAATTTCAAGTTTTCCATTGTATAAACCCACTGCCATTGTGGCAATTAGTGTTTTCAATTGGTGTATAGAGCTTTTACTCGAGTTTGGTTTTTGTGTGAATTTGCCTTGGTGCTACTTGAGCTAAAAACTTGGCTCTCTTTGTCTTCTTTACTTTGGATTTAGGTGTGTAGAATTTAGACTGGATAGAGGAAGGTAATGGAGATGATGATTTAATGGACTTTGGTGGTAAAATTGTATGATAGTTGCCACAATGTTTTGCTTTCATGGAGGCAATTACTGATGATATTGCTGCTTTGTTTTGGAATTAGGGTGTTGATTTCTATGCGATAAACACGGATTCTCAAGCACTATTACAGTCTGCTGCAGAGAATCCACTCCAAATTGGAGAGCTCTTGACTCGTGGGCTGGGTCAGGCACTCTTTTTTGATCAAGAAAAATTCATGACTTTCGTGATTTTGTGTATGGCTAAGCACTTGGCTTTGTATTGTTTTAATGATTTGAATCAATTGACTGAAATATAGGCACTGGGGGAAATCCGCTTTTGGGGGAACAAGCTGCAGAGGAATCCAGAGATGCCATTTCAGATGCTCTTAAGGGCTCAGATCTTGTCTTTATAACTGCTGGCATGGGTGGAGGCACTGGGTCAGGTGCTGCTCCAGTTGTTGCCCAGATAGCAAAAGAGGCTGGTTATTTGACTGTTGGTGTGGTGACCTACCCCTTCAGGTTTGAAGGACGGAAAAGAACCATGCAGGCATGTGCATTTAACCCCTAATATGAGCTCTAGATAATGGGGGGATATTATAGTGAAAGACTAGTCTATATACTAGCAATTGGATTATGCACAAAGATCATGATAATAACTAGGTATGCAAAAGTTTCTGTCATTTTAACGTCTAAAGAATTTTTTCATATCTGTAAATTTGCAGGCTCTGGAGGCTATTGAAAAGTTGCAAAAGAATGTTGATACTCTTATAGTGATTCCCAATGATCGTCTGCTTGATATTGCTGATGAGCAAACACCTCTGCAAGATGCTTTTCTTCTTGCTGATGATGTTCTGCGCCAAGGTGTTCAAGGAATTTCAGATATAATCACGGTCAGTGATTCTTTCATATGTCAAGCTACATATTCTTAGAATAAGACTGTTTCAAGAAGGTTTAGATTCTATATGAACATTCTAGTTAACTATGCATGACCTTTGTTATGCAATGACTATTGACTAATATTTAATGATAATTTTTCCTATGACATTTTCTGGTTTCAACTTAGTATCTTACTGAAATTTCTTCCCTTCTTTTTGCAGATACCTGGATTGGTGAATGTGGACTTTGCAGATGTTAAGGCAGTCATGAAAGATTCTGGAACTGCAATGCTTGGGGTAGGAGTTTCCTCTAGCAAAAACCGTGCAGAAGAAGCGGCAGAACAAGCAACTCTGGCCCCTCTAATTGGATCATCAATTCAGTCAGCTACTGGTGTGGTATATAATATTACTGGAGGAAAGGATATAACCTTGCAGGAAGTTAACAGAGTATCACAGGTACTTATGGTGTTTGGAGTGATTGATTTCCTGTTTGCTGATTTAATAGGAAACTGTCTTATCATCTTTCTGAAGGGTGAAATACATTCCATATTACATTCTTCTAAATTTTTGGGCTTTCTTACAGTCTATAGATATTATCAGGAGTATTCTCTGTTTTAATCTGTATTATTTTTTGTGAATTTGCAGGTTGTGACAAGTTTAGCAGATCCTACTGCTAACATCATATTTGGTGCTGTTGTGGATGATCGCTACAACGGAGAGATCCATGTGACTATTATTGCCACTGGCTTCTCACAGTCATTTCAGAAGACGCTATTAACGACCCCCAAGGCTGCAAAACAGATTGACAAAATAGCCACGGGTCAAGAAAGCAAGGGAATACCCTTACCCCTCAAATCATCGTCTCCTTCAACTGTTCCTTCGAGGTCATCTCCACGGAGGCTATTCTTCTAATTCCTTTGATCTCCCCCTTTCTTTCTTCCTTCTTTTTGCTATTAGCTGTGTAATGATTTTGAAGCTTATGTGTATTAGATGCCATTTGTTTCCATGTTTGTGTGCCCTGCAAGATTTAATGGGTTTTCAGTAGTCCAAAATAGATGTCCATGATTGGATAACACAAATTAGTGTTATGACATGATCTTGAAAAGCTTCTGTTTTTGAGGTTATGAAAATCTATCACATGGATTCCATAAGTAGGAGTTATGATACATGTTCTCGGATATTGGAGTAATCTGAGGTGGATCAGGGATATCAACATTAAAGAATTTTGACAAAATTTCCTGTATTTCTGCATAAACAATATCCAAGTAGCCTACATCCTTTGAGAACTACATAATATATTTATGAGCAAAAAATTGGCTTACAAGGTATATACAATCTATAGTTTCAAAGGAAGAAGGAATAATTTACACATTCTTGTGTACAACAATCGGCTTTGGAGGCATAGTTTAATCAAAGGAAGATGGAAAGCTCGGGTTTGGGCGTAAAGGACAACATGCTTTCACCAAAAAGTTCAAACAGTGATGCTAGCAAGTTCCCAGCATCTGTGTCCTCCTTCCAAGCCTGAGCTAGAACAGTTGAAGTCTTTAAAAGTCGACCACTGGCCTCCCTTCCCGATACGTTATCATTTGATAACTGCCGTGATATTGACGATACACCAATGTTGGAACCTCCCATTGTGGCGGAAAATCCACCAACTGCCCCTTGCATGTCAACTTGCATAGAATTTATTGGCATCATACCACTTGCACTGTCAGCAGCGATTTTCTTGAGTGGTGGTTGCTGTATCGAGTTGTCTGCGCTTGCTTTGCGTTTATCTTGATCAATCAGAAAAACCAAGATAGAGCATAAGGAAGGAGGAAAAATGAGACTTGTGGATCAAGTATATATAAGTCTATGGTTCGAAGAAATCATACTTGTTATCACAACTTTTCCACTGCTTTTCCAGACAGGACGATTTGGGGGCGCTAGCAGACCGGGGAACATTTTAAGCCTATCATACATGCACAGCCCAGCTGCACGCTGGTAGTGGAAAAATTTACAGCATTGTTAGTTCTGCTGCAAAGTAACAGCAACTGCAAATCAATGCAGTGATGCTCGAAACCCGGTATCAAATTGGATAATAAACTCACCAGCAAGGCCCCATAAACACACCAAGCTTCATGCCTTTTCATTTCATTCTTCTGCTTCTCAGGCTGCATTTCTAGTTCAAGAAGTTGCAAATATGCCTCAAGATTTGGTAGTATAAGAAGACGAACCTACCGCAAGCAGAAACCAGAGGCATTAGCAAAACATCTAAGAAAGAAAATTTACGGAAAAATGAAAATGCAAAAGTACTAGGTAAAAGTGATGCATGATTAAGATATCTGCAGAGAAAATGCAAATTTTCATTTTTGAAGTTATCAATTTATCTTTTCTTCAGATCTTGCAGACAAAAGTGATGAAAACAGCCTTTTTGGAAGAAACAGGCAGAAAATTGCTGTCGTTGCAGTATCTTTGAAAGTAAAAATGCCACAAAACAGGTATCTTATTATTTTGCTAGTACAAGTATTTGAGAATAGAGGATACCACACTGGGTCCAAGGGCTGCTAAACCTCGAAGTGCACCATAATGCTGAGGCAATGTTTTTGTTGGGTCCAAAAAAGCATGGAGCAGAGTTCTTGTCACACGTGGCTGAAGATTGTGATAAACATGCCCAAATCTACAAATATTGACCGGTGAGAAATGTATGTAACAGTTTGCATGCAAAAGACAAATTATGATGGAAATTAAGTTTTAATACTATCCAAATTCAACCAATTAGCTAAGCACATCTAAGTGTATCATAGTAAAAAGAGTAGCCAGAATGATCAAGAACAGACATGCAACGTAAGATGCTCTACTATATACATCAAAGCACATAAAACAAATCTATGAATCTTGCATATATAGGCATGTTCAAACCTTTGTGTTGCATGTGGAAAATAGTATAAAAATGAATATGCACCTGACTTTGAAGTGGAGGTCAGGTTTAAAACAAACTATTGGAATAATCAAAATTAATAAACTTGGCAGGGACATTCTTTGTTTCAGCACTGGAACATTTTTAGTTCTACCATGGGGTTTAATAGTACCCGTGAATGAGCAAGTAAAAGAGAAATCCAATCTTCACCTTTTGCATATTGATGCCACTAGCTTGGCTGCGAAGTTTCTAAGTTCCCAGTGATTGTCAGTGAATTTATTCCCTAATCTTTTTGCAACAAGGCAGGTAATAACAGATGGCATCAATTGGTGTAACTGAAGAAATTTTCAAAAAGAGAGAAAAATCAGATAGGCAGAAATAAACCACAGGAAATTAGGCATTAGTTTGGGTACTTCTGAAACAATTGAAACAAAAAACTCACATAAGGTTCTATGTGTATGTTTTCATTCTGAACAAGGCTCCAGGCAACACGCATCAATTTAAACAAGAGACGGAAATTATTTAAATTACGAGCAACCTGAGATAAGTGTGGGAAACATGTAAGCTTGAGGTAACCAAACAAAGGTTCTTGTGCCATAGACATATTAATAAGGTAGGAAGGATCTTCAAGATGACCTCATCAGTAATGAAATAAGTGAAATAAGGAGTTAAAGGATGGACTCCTGGGTCTGTTGCCAAGCTCAGTAATGCTCGATTAAAGACAATAGAGACAGATCTATTCAAAGTAAGCTCCACAATTTTCTCAAAGTAAAGCTGCATAGCAGCCAAAAAAGTTTGTTAATATCATCATAGCACAAAGTCTTTCAAAAATGTTCCTAAACATAAAAAGAAAATAAAATGTCCAACATACTTGAAGGTCTCTAGATAATACGTGCTTAACAGGTAATTTAACATCAACAGAAAGTCCATCTTCCTTGTGTTCAGCCCTTTTTCCATCAGAAGGTGCTGAAACGAAAGCAAAATGCCAATTTAGCATACTGATGATGATAACTCTTTACACATAAAAACGGATAAAATCACAAAAGAACAGAAAAGACACGTGCGAAGTGAAAGCATCTGAATTTCTAATCCAAAAGCTGTTACGGACATAGATAAAGTGAATTTCCATTAGTCTGGGTCACTTATTCCATCAGTGTTAACTAAGAAAGTACCTTCAACCGAAGCATTTTCTGGAATCGCAGGTTGAACACCTTCAATTGCTAGCCAGTGAGAAGTAACAGATGTCTCAAGTGGCACTTTTGGTAAAGGTGCTTCAATCACCTGCATACATTAGGCACCATACGAGAATGTAAGCAAAAAAGCGCTTTAGCCACAGGCAATTACAACGAAACTTCTAACGTTGTCGATAATTTCTTACTTCTTTAAACTCCACATCCTTGTCATCAATGTAGAACAAATCCTTATGCCCAGCAGCTCTTTTGAACCGTGGTGGATCACGAGAGGCAAAGCCATATATCGGCTGATGAACATAAGCAAGAATTAAACTAAAAACTCAAACTTTCAATATTCAGACCAATTATATCGATTAATACACATGAACAAGAAATTTTCGAACAATTCCGACAAATCAAGATGCGACACATCATCAAAAATCACATCTTTATAACTAAATTATACTAAGAAACAATACCAATCAGCACTATTTTCAGGTAACAAAAGAAAATTATATGAAATAATTTACAATAAGCAAATGTACCTCCACATTTCTTAGATTAAGAGCATTGTCCACGTCATCAGCTGTCAGAACCGTCCGCCGCGAATGGCGCATGCATTTAATCGCCTCCTGCATAAAAATTAAGCTTTTTTTTTATAAAACTATATATTTAAAATTTAATTTAAGAAATCAGCAAAAAAAAAAAGGATTAAAACTTTACCTGCATGATCTCACGAACGCGATATTCGACATCAGGAGCGAGGGCAAGGGCAACATCTGGGGACAAATTGGTAATTCCAATGCTCTGTGCTACCACTTCAATAGCTTCTTTCGGGACGTTGCTCATTCTTAACGTCAAATTTAAACGTGTTTGTATAAATTTGTTGCGATGAAACAAAAAAGGAATTGTCTTTGGAAAATTGGGGGACAATGGGAGGGTGAATTGGGATTTTTAGGGTTTAACTGCAAGTCATGCAGAAAGAGTTACTGGATTGGGCCTGGGCAGTTTTCAGTTTTGGGCTCTTCTTGAGCTCAATATAGCCCAATATAAGGTTAAAAAAGGCTTTAATAGTAGAAAAGCCCTTATACTATGATTACCTTTTCAATTAAGTCCCTCATTTTTTTTATTTATATCAAAATGAGCTCTTAAACTTTGATTTGTATACATAAAATTAATTACCCCCAAACCTAATCCCAACTAACATTGTGATATATGACTTAACAAGTTTACAGTTTTTGACCATTGCCGTGAGCAGTAAACATGACCTGTGCACTTGGCCTTGTCAGCGGCTAACATTGAATCCGATACAATTAATTTTTATTTTTCTCGTAAATTGATAATTACCCTTTTGAAGAAACAACAAGAGTCCAAATTTGACTGACTAATTTCTTCATCCCATTAGATGTACAGTGATGCAATGACACTTTCAGACAACATCAGACAAGCAACCGGGAATGTTGCTGGTTGCAATGCTTTAGATTTCAACAGACCAAAAAGGAAGAAGATTCAATAAATAGTTACAGATGTGCCCAACAAGACTAAAATTACTTTGTAAATTTACAAAGTTGTTCTGAACGGCTCAGCATCATCTTCACACACCCAAAGCACCAGAAAGATACAAAGAGAAAGGGATGAGAAAGCAAAACGAGAAGTTTCCCAACATGGAAGTAATAATTGAGAACCAATTCCACACAGACACACACAAAACAAGAAGCTTGCAACAAGCTTGTTGTGTTTTTTGGCTGTTGTTGGTATTACAAGAATTTGATCAGTAGGTATATGGCGACAACCAGAATCACGATCCCGATAACAGCTAAAAGCATGCACATACAGGAACAACCACCTTTGGTACGCTTGTTCAAAATTGCCAGGTTTTTCTGCACTCTCTGTTACAAGAACAAACATGATGAACAAAGAAAACATAAATCTTAGAATCCATCATGATAGTAAGTTTCATTTTGGTAGGAAACTAGTGATGGTAAATGCTCTAAATTTCAACTATTCTGGACTATAAGCTGCGAGTAAACACTTGCATCCCTTTGAACATGTAATATTTCACATAATCAATCGTTGCTCACACCACCAATGAATCAATGGTCACAAGCAATATGAAGGTAAAGGAAAATGCAACATTATCAGCAGTTACCGTATTGCTTTATTTTGCTTCATTTCGAAGTAGCCAAAGAAAAGTCATAACCAAATCGGTTCCAACATAATTCAATAACAAAAGACTATAATTCTTATTTTATTTGAGGAGATCTTTATCTATTTTAAATACTACTTGAAAAACCATGAATTCCTTCCTTCATCCCTGATGTGATTCATCTCCAAAGAACTCCCACCGCATGTCATATTCTATCGATTCTGATGCCGAAATTCATTGCCATGAAGTGAAAAAAACTAGGATGCGTACCATTTTACAGAAATGCTACTTGCTAGTACGGTGTACTAAATAACTATTTCAAACAGCAGTCATTGGATTTTGTTCCATTCAAAAATGAAAGGAGGATATAGTGCTATGCATATAATTCAGTGTTTTACCGCTAGGCGAGAATCAGTAACATCCACATGTCTGTCCAGGTCATCCTGCACAGAGGGTGCACAAGATAATGTAAAGTTTACAGAAGATGAATCAATCCTTTCTAAGCACTAATTTTTAAGAAATACAACACAAACGAGTATAGAAGAAATGAACAGAAAACATACAATGAGTCTGGTGTGCAGATCAAGTTCTTCATTGACCGCCAATGCAATATGCTTTGTGCTTACTACTGTCTCCTCCAACTTCTCAAGGCCCTCATCTTGCTCTGCTTGAAAAAGAAACCCCATAAGCTGAGGAAACTCAAGCCATTATACAAGCTAGCAGATACCATTTGAAACTAAATCAACTTGCCTTTCATTATTTGCCGTTGAAGACCAACAAGGCCAGAGTTATCCAAACCAACTGTTCTACTCATGGCATCTGGCTTAATTTCTGGGCCCAGCAAGCTATCTCTGTTAGCGAAGTTTGACATGTTGAATGCAGAAGCCATCTGGTTAGCTTTTGATCTCAAATTTGCAACCATGTCCTTGCGTCGATTCATCTCCTTCTCTGTTCTGTGACCAAAATACAAAGCATCAACAAATAGACAGAGTCAGTTTATTCTTCATACTAAAAAAAATCCCAATTTGCAAGAGAACATCAAAGTACCACATCTTATAAATATTCCAGAAGACACATGATCAAAATTACACAACTTGACATCAATTTACTGCTACATAGGCCTCACTTAAGAAGACTTACAAGGGCTTCCCAGTAGGTCTAGATAAAAGGGACTGCAATCCATCTAGTCTAGTCCCTAAAATCGTAATCTTCCTTCTTATTGCAGATGCATGACGCTGAGTTTCTGGTCCTGATGCAGGCAAGGAACTCCTTTCAGATATCATGCCATTGATATCATCTGCAATTTTAACTGCTTCGTTATATTCTTTTACCCATGGGTCTGAAGAAGATGCCATTGACCTAAACAATCATAACCAAATACAATCAAGTAAAGAGCTGATATAAATGAACGAAAAAAGGACTTAATATGCAACCAAAAGGCATAAATTTAGAACACTTGAACATCATTCAGACAATGAAAAAAGAACAGATCAAAGCTAACTTAAGCAACAATGAGCTTGCATAACCCTTCGCTTTTATCTTCTCTGCTTGATGGCCTCTTTAGAAGAACCAGAACATTACTCACGGGGAAAAAGAAATTCTTTATACAACTGAGTATGAGCTTAATTATTGACAACAGGATAGATATCAAGAAAATCCCAATAAAATTAAGCAATCAAATTATACCAATTGTCCTTCTTGTAAAAGAAACTTCATTCAGAACCATCAACAAAATTTCCCTTTTCCTTCAACTGATGCAATATTTAGCTTAATTCAAAAAAAAAAAAAACCATGTTCAATGGCTTCTTATGAATCCATAATTAAACCAACAAAAAAAAAAAGAAAAACCCTTTTTTTGAACTGGGTATGAGCTCAATCACTCAAAACTGGATGAATATTTACTGAAAAAGCCTAACAATTAAGCTATCAAATCAAACCAAATTGTCCGAATAAAGAGAAGGAGCGAAACTTGATTGAAACCCCATCAATAAAATTCCCAACTGTCCCAAATTTGATGGAAATTAAACAAACATCCATTCCGTAGAATGCAGAATTCAATTAAAAAAAAGCCGGAATTCAGCAGTAACTTACAATGAGGAAAAGCTAAAATTGGAATAGTTGCCGATCAAATCCCCCAAAGAAAACCAAAACCCAGAAAAGAGGAAAGCTTTTAAAGATCGGTGCAAAGGAAGAGATCAGATTGAACAACAAGATTAAAAGAAAAAGAAATAGAAACTTACCTGAATTTGATCGAAAGTTGGATTGTTATAATCGTGGGAATCGGGGGAATGAAACGGCGGCGTAGAAGCTAAGGGACAAGAGGCAATAGCAACATCAAACACGGTAGCGTTTGTACGGCCCCGTCGTCGTCGTTTACCACATTATTACACGCATTTTTTCCCTTTTTTTTATATATACAATAGAATTCCAAAAAAGGGCATCATTCGTTGTCTCAAAAGGACCAATAATTCTGGGCCACGTAATTATTTAATTTCACATCAATTTTTGTAAACCACAATGTTCAGCCGTGTAGTAAATTAATATAAGATATTTAAGTATTTAAACCATTTTCGATTTGTGAGATATTTTTATAATAATTTGTGAAATATTTTTAAAAAATAGAATCATGAGTTTTAATAGACAAAATCGGATAATATTTTACATATTGACGTAAATCGTAACATTAAATTAAAAGAGATGATATGTTACAAGTTAACATAAACCTTAGCAATGTTTATGAGTTATGGTAATCATGCAAAAAAATGGAGTGAGGAGTGAAATGCATGGAATGAGAGACCTTGTAATGATTTGTATGAATGATTGAAGTATGATGGATTTGGTATCAGGAAGAATAGATTTAGAAAGAAACAATTGCAGTCAAGGTAACAAGAATGGATCAAGGAGAAATCGCCAATGACCCTGTGCTTTTCCTGAATGCAATAGCTGGCTTCTTTCTTGCCCCGCTGTGCAGCCTGGAAGAGGACAGTGTTTCAGTCTCTTTGCCTTGGCCAAGTTTACCATCCCCATGGAGATCGTTTTTCTGGGTAGTACTGGACTTTAGGTAAGAACAACTTAAACCTCTTTTCTGTTGTTCCTTTGTCATTAATTGGTCAATCTGTTAATTGTTTCGTAGATGCAGTTTTGTGGTTATGTATAGGCTAAGCCTTGTTCATGGAGATTCCTAAGTTAGATGTATAAAAAGGAGCGTGCTCATCACTCAACTCCTGCTAACAAAGTAATGCATTCAAGTGACAGTCAAGCAGCTCACCATAGCCATCTGATGCAGCAGAAATCTGCTGCACAACTAGCTAAGCAACTGCAGGCGGCTGCCATTGTAACGTCAAGCTCGTCAAAGGAAGCAGACAAGATGCGTCAATTCTACTTGAAGCAGGTAAGGAAATTCTGATAAGATTATAAACGTGGACGCTGCACGGTCCAATAAATTAGCCTTTTGCAGAGAGGGTAAGGACCCTGTGATACAAATCCATGACCAAGGCACGACAGGAGCTAAGCTAAGCCTACTTTGCAGCTGCAACTGAAGTCTATCCACTTTTGACAGTAATGATTCGAATGATCAAGCACTTATCTGTTCCATCAGCTAAATATTCAAGTCGAAGTTTATCCATTGAAGCTGTCCAAGACTTGAAATGTTTAAACTCAATAGCATTGCACTGATCATCATTGTGTAGTTCCAATTTAAATGTTGATAAGCCTCATCACCATATCATGTAACCTGTGTATGTATATACTACATTACATCAATGAATCAGGGCCGTTATTCATCTATGGAGGAAAGGAGGAGATGAAGCCTGATCAAACCAAAGAAGGTGTGCCATATGTGGATAGTAAGGAGGAAGAAGCAGAAGGAACAGGACATTTTGATAAGCTTCATTTGGATCTGCAATCTTTGGTCGCTAGCTGCCTCATGTTACATGACTATATGAACTTTCGTTGGACAACTACCCTAAGAAATTGGGGAGATATTCTCTACCTCCATGGCTTATGTCTTGTAAGAATGGCGAAGGTAAATGCAAGTTCATTGATCAGCTTCAACCAAGAAAGATATCCAATAAATAATCCTAACAAATCAAAATGAAGTCAGAATGTGCTACTCAAGAGAAGGTCAGTGCCTGATGTTATCCCTTTACAAAGAGAACTATTCTTCTGAATTCTCTTCTTGTTTTGATTTCTGAGGGCACTGGGGAAGTTGTTTCACTTTTGATTGGAAAATTCTTGACAAACCTCAAAGACCTTGCAAGTCATTCAATCAAAGTTTTCTTGTAGAAGGAAATGGGAAGCTCCTACATGTGTTCCTGGGTTTCATGGGAAAATGGCTCTGAGTTTTCAAGTTGAATCTCTCTGCAATGGTTTGGGTTGAATCATCTTCCTCCACCTTAGCAACAACAGGAAGAAAAGAAGAACAAAGCTTGCCTTCATCAGGCTTTAGAAGGTGTTAAGGAAGACATTTACAACACAAGAGAACAATTACAGAGTGGTTGAATTCAATCATTCTAAAACATGTAATTATCCATGAAAACAGGGTTTCCAGCTCTCAACAAAAGAAAGTACTGACAACCAGAATTACCAGAACATGTAATATCCTCAAAAGCTAATTACATACAGTTTAAAACCATGTTACAGACAGGAGATGCTCAAAGAAAAGAAACCTCTAGCAGAAAGTAGAAGTTCAGACAGTCCTAATCCATTTTACAGGTTTCAGACAGCAGCTAGGCTTTCTACGTAGTGACATACATGGTACCATTTGTATTGCATACAATCATAAACATTGTTGGCCCTCCAGCTTGAGAGCAGTTTCGAAGTGTGCAGCCTTGGATTGTGGGAGATGATCTTGCCAGGTAGCTGCAGTACCAGTTCAACGTCTTCCTCTTCCTCTCCTCTGACAACGCCTAGTATAGAGTATGCATAATACTGAACCTGGAAGTCCTCCGGATTGTTCTGCGCCAAATTCGGGAACTCATCTATGTATCTTCGAGCAATCTCAGGGAACTTGGATGCCACATTATTGAGATTAACTCTGTATTTCACAAACCAACGAGAGTAATCAGGCTTCATCTCGAACACACGAAACCTTGGTGTGCTGATGGAGTCAACTTCGATCAGGTGTAAATGGCCACGACATTCTCCAAAATAGGGAAACCTCTGAGAGCTCCAGAAACCTGTTGGTCCTGTCTGCATGCGTGGCATTGTCGTTGTTTTCAAGCTTTCACTGTCAACATCAAAGTAAAGGGAAACATCTGTGGGGCTGAGCCAATGGATTGCACCATTCCAGAATACCCCATGCTCAAAGTCTGTGTAATGGGGTGCTTCGAAAGGACCTCCAGAGAGGGACCAAGCTTTAGTTTCTGATGAAAAGATCTCAATGTGATAAGTAGGAGAAACAAAGTGTTCAATGTCATTAAGACCATCCTCACCATGCAAAAGATTATTATCATTTGGAATTGGGTCGTGCAAGTTGTTCATCAAGACACAAATGACCTTATAATGGGTCGATTTTGGAGGATCAAAAGCCAAATTAATCCCTGCTATCGACCTGTTTGCAGTTGCATTAGGTAGAGGAACAGTAACGAAACTCTTGGTGCTGGGATTACAGACACAGTAAGTAAAGCCAGAGTTATTCTCTGCAGAACTAAAACGGCAGAGAAGAAGCAGCAATCCATTGCAAGACTGCAGGATTTCAATGCCTGAAACATTGAGAAACGAGAGAGATGGTACCTTAAGCATGTTCTGATCTTTATCAAAGTTAAGCAAACCAATAGGGCTGCCATAGAAGTAGAGGCCAGAGGGTCCAAGGTTGACATGCAAACGGATATGTTTGACAGCAAACTGAGGATCAGAAATGAGGGAAACCCATCGTTTGGAGACGCATTTGGACTTGAAAACAGATTTCACAGGCAAACGCAACAGGATCTCTGTCAAAAGATCTTGGTTAGATGCTACCATCTCAGCTGAACACGTTTGGTTTTCTGAATTATCAGTCATTCTTATCTTTCTCTCAAAGCCTGTTGAAACAGTTCAGGTTGTGAAAGTGAAAGGTTGAAAGAGTAAACGTTGTTGGAAAGATGGCAAAGAGCAAGAAAATTGACTTATTTTGACATGGAATGTAATCCACACGCGGCATCCATGCAAGTTCAAGCTGGCCAAACTGGATTGGCTTGAAGAAACGTTTTCAGACAATGTACAAGACAAAGTCAGAACCCTGTCAAACAGCAGCCTCTTTCCCCTTTTTCACTTGCAGGTGTAGGTAGCAAAACTTGATTTGTTCAACCTATCAAATCTGTCCGTCATCTAATCCAGTTCAGTTAATCAAACTTCGGCATCTGGAGATCAATCCAAAGACAAGTTCTAAGCTCCATCTGACATTTTCTTGGTTATTTTGTTTACCTTTCCGGGCCTTTCAAGGGGTTGGTTTGTGTTTTTACAGC